ATAATGAAAAAATTCAAAATATATACTTTGTTCATTTGATTCAATCATTTTTTATTGTCCCATACCATTCTTTCTGAGTCCTCATCAGGATTTGATGTCTGTCTTCCCTTAGTTCTTTACCTTATTTCATGCCCTTTTGGACCATGCCCCACTCTTAAATATCTAAAAATATAGCCCCCTATTTTACCACTTTCCCATTCTGCTCATTGATTAGGTTTATTTATACTGCCTGATTTGGACCCATACCTAATTTTTTCCCATCTTAAGCCACTATTCATTAGCTTCGGCCCAAATACTTAATACATCATTACTTTTGAAATGAGAATACTATATCTTGAATCTCTGGGTTTTTTTCTATTAAGAGGTATTTTGAAACTGATCTAACAACTTGATGTTTTTATGTTTTTGTAGTGAAGTGCTTTGATAGCATGTCAACAAATTGTGCACTGAAATACTGTGAAAATTAAATCATTTTTGCCTAGTATTTTGTACACAGGAATATAAAAATTTATTGAAGGAGTAAATTTTTAGGTTTAGTATTAATAAATATTTGAAACGTGTTAAAGATTTCCCTTCTCAGTTTTATATTGTGGAGAGATATGCAGAATAAGGAATTAGGCAAGGTTTCTAAATTTGGGTTACCGGGAAGTTCATAGAAGCATATTTTATAGAGAATATGTGGTAAACCTTTAAGATCCCTGTTGCAGAGCTGGCTCTCATGATGATAAATTGGTACCCTCCTTTAGATATCAGCTGTTCTTCAGAGCCCTTTAATTTCTCTCTTAGTCCTGGATACACACATAAAAATATTAATAATTGAAGGCAGATATTAAGTTTTACTATGTTTGTAGCCCTGGTGCCTTGCATAGCATCCAGCACATGGAGAACTCTCAATAGATATTTAAGTTGAATGGGGAAGAGAAAAAACTAACATTTCTTGAGCATCTCTGTGTGTGAAGCAAATGGAGTTTATATAGACAAACAATTTTAACTAAAAACCCTC